TTTTTTTTTCTTTTTTTTCTTTTTAAAGATGAAAAGTTGTCTATCTAATGTATTAAAAGTCTGGAGAAACTGTGATCTTTATGGACTTGCTGCTCAGACCACAACAAAAATGATCTGTGTGGAATGTTTTTCCTAGTATTGCTTTTCAGCATTTCATGGTAACTTATTTTTTAAGCTGCATTTTGAGAGGCATTTACTGATTTCTTTTTGCCTCTATCTTGTTCCTGCCTTCTGTAATCTGTTTCTGGGTTTCTGTCACCTTAAGTATTTTTTCCAAAGGAGGAGGTTATCTGAAAATGACAGTGGAGTTTGAAAAATAAAGTCAGCAGCCCAAAATAGGAGCATGGCTACATGGGCAGCACCAATAGCAGATTAACTGCTGCTGTCTAAATTGTTCTTGACTCTACTTTGGTTGTTACTCACCCGTTATTTGGACTTACATTGTCTGAATGCCATCAGTATGGTCAAAGCTATTCATTGCTATTTGAAACTCCCCAGGAACATACCAAATAATAGGTTTCTAACACTCCAAACAAGAAAAGGTCACAGCCACAGGAAGGATGTGATGACAAGATTTAAGGTATTTTCCAGCTTTTGGAACAAATGCACTGGGCAGGACACAAAGGCATACTGTTACTGAGGCCGTGCCAGGATGGGGCCCCTACATTACATTTTGTTTCTCAACATATGATAGTGATCCTAGAAACAAGCAATCTAAAGTTAGGTCAGTGGTGAAATAGATCCTTACTTCAGAGCGTACAACCACCACCTCTCTGACATCAGTTAGTTGCTGAGCCAGTATATTAAGTTGACTTTATACTGTGAAATGCTTTAGTCATCTGATTGCTATGTGATAAAAGGTAATTTTATTTGCTTAAATGCAGCGTGAAGAAACAAGCGTATCCCAAGTGGTTAAAATGCTGCATATTGCCAGTATCTCCAGCAACAGTCAGAGGAAGGGGGAGGGGGGAAAAAAAAAGCAGGCAGCATCTCACACAAAGGTGGTTGGTTGGTCCTCTTTGGAGCTTTCCTGTGCAGCTACAATAGCTCTTTGGCTTCAGCGTGACCTTTGCGGATGTAGCCTTAGAACAGGGTAAATGAGTCACATAAAAATAAATCACCGCTTTTCAACAGTGCTTCACGGGGCACTATCTATCACTGTAGATGTAAGACTATGAAATGTGTGCATCAGCCTATGAAAAATAGTTTGTCATCATAAGCTTAGTTTCAGGTAGAGCTTGGAGACTGTTATATGTGAATCCCAAGGGAGAAAATATTGGGTTCCAAGATTTTGACTGCAAAATGCTAAGTCTAAGTCATCACAATCTTGAGCTGTTTCAGTGACCAAAGTTATTTTTATTTTTGGAAGTGGCTTACTGATGACACATCCCTACAGCCCTCGGCATGCAACCTCAGCTGTCTGGACATTCCTTGCTGCCTGGTTACAAAACGCATCTGCTGCTCTTATATAGGCTCTTGCATGGGTCTGTAGGTCTTGTAGCCTTCCAGCAGTTAAGCGGTTTGTGCTCGCTTGCTCTCCTACCTAACAATACAGATACTAGGGAAAGCTGAACTGGGAATGCCATTATTATACATGGAAATTGTCAGTAACATGTCTTTCCAAGTTGGTATCCTTATATTAATACAGCTCCCTGTCCCCACCTCCTAACCAAGCCTTTGCACTACCACATGGGGCATGAGATAACCCCTCCGTACAGTGTATGCTGTCCAAGCCCTTTAACAAGCTGAAGTAAAATTCCTACCCCTTGGTGTCTTTTATGTCATGTGAAATAGCTCAGGGCACAGTTTCTGGAGAAAAGGCATCACATTAATTGATAAATATGTAGATAAGATAAATTCCCCTTATACTGTTCAGCTTGCTATAGCCAAGAGAATGAGACACATGGAAGGACATGGTCATGCTAGGAACCAAGAGAACATTCCCCTTTTCTTCATATTTGAGATAACAGCATCAGGACAGCTGATTCTGAATGAATGATTTTTGCTTGCTTATAGACCCGTCTTACCAATGTAGCTGAGCAATGGGTATGATCTTTTAAAAAGTGGAAGGGACTTAAGCATGTATAGGGCTTTACCAAGTTAATTCTCAGACTGACTTTGCTCACATTCTCACATGCAAATGCATTAACTGCAGAACAATAAACCTTTGTGTAGATTTCCTGGCCATGTAGTGCCAGGTAGCTGAGATTCCATTGCAAAAGCTCCCTTCAACAGAAAGGGGGGGGAAAAAAAAAAGCCTAATTCCGACTTACTGCCAAACAGGACTGCAAACTTTGACATGAAAATATCGCTAAAAAGCTATCAGTATTAAAAGAAAATAAAAGCTGGGCATGCTATCTGCTTAAGTGTTCTCTGGTGGTCATCAGGCAATTTTAACAATCCTCCCTAGCACTTTCTTTGGCTAACTACTGACACCAGTCAGATCCCACTTCAAAAACCTAAGGTAAGATATTTGCACAGCTGCATTTTTAAAGATACCAGCATATACTGCTAGGAGCATCTCAGAGATGTGTGACACCAAACAAAACACTATGACAATGAATTTTCCTGCTTGATTTGCAACTGCAAGTAAAATCCAGTTAACAGACATGCATTTTTAAATGCACAATAGAAATGTCTTTCTTCACAAAAGAAAGAGGTATTTTATCTATATAGCAATCTTTATTTCAAAATGGCATTTATTACAAAAATGTAAAAATCCAGCTAAACCAGAAACATTGAGATTATTTTCCTGGACTATCAAAAGTCCAGGGATCTTTGTCCCATATCCTTGTCCTCACAATGTTCTCCCCGCTTCCAGTCTGATTACACAGGTGCAAATGTGCCTAAATGGCCCAGAGTAGATAAATACATGAGAAAGGCAAAAGCTGTAAAAGCTAGATGCATGCAACAAGTTCTATCAGGAAGAAACCCTCAAAAATAAATGTAAGAGTAAGGTAATCTTTAGGTATCCAGAGATTTGTTCAGTCATCCTTGTCTTTTGCTCCATGTTTCAGGATGCGCGTGAATTCAATGTAATTGAAATTCCCCTTTTTGTCGATGGGGGCCTCTCTGTACAGCTCATCTACCTCTTCATCTGTGAACCTGTCTCCCATCGTTGTCAGCAGCTCCCGCAGGTAGTCTTCTTGGATGAACCCTAGAATGAGATGTAAGAGGCCAAATATAAAAACTTGGGCGTCTTTATATTCAATAATAAATGAACAATAATGTCTTTCTTTGAACTCTTTGTTTCAGTTATAGATACCTACAGTCTCTGTTGCCAAATGAAAACAAAGCCATTAAAGTCCATTAACTATAATGACCAAATGATTACAAGCATTTAATCAAGTCAAGCCTCTTAGATGATTTGCAAGGCTCTATTTAATTTGCACTACCTCAAATAAAGGCCATTTTATCATTTGTCCGTTTCAACAAATAGGCAAATTGCCAGTATACATATTGGACCTTCGTCCCAGCAGCAGGGCTACACTCCCAGTAGTAGAGAGACTTCTAACAACTGCATGTTTTACGCAAAGGGGATCTGTTTGCCTAGAACATTCCTCATGAGAATCACTTAAAAAAAAGAAGTGATGGAACTTGATTACCAAATGATCAACAAGTGCATGAAAGAACGAAGTTCAATATATTTCAAAGATTTTAAACTGATGTTAAATCAGTAACAAAACTCAGATTTACTAGACTGGTTGCAAAGAACACGTTGTTTGGCATTGTTTGTCAAACAAGCAGCCTTATGTAACTTGTGAATCCTTCTACCAGGACTCGTGAGTCACACAAGGTTCTTGTATTCTTTTTCTTCTCCTTTAAGTGCAGCTCTACAGAGGGAAGGTGGATACAAGTTGCTGACAGAAAACAAATGCTTCATAAAAGCACCACAGCTTGAAGACAAGGATTCCCCTTAAAAACATTGCCCTAATGCTGAGATTTGTTAGGAAAAAATTAAGACCCTGTTTCCCGATCATCTTTACTTTCTTCTGCCTTCAACAGAACCAAAGTGCAAGTAGTCTGGGATTTTAAGTTTTACAGTGTTTGAAAGGGTAATTTCAGCCGATGAGAGTACAGGCATGGTTTTTAGTTTTCAGACTTGAAATATTCATTGCTACTTCTATGAATACAAGTATTTGTTGTTACAAAAGTAAGCAGAAAAAATACACATACACTGTTATTTTACCCACGTACCTGTTGCCTCTTCATCAAAGCAAGCAAAAGCATTCCTGATCACATCTTCTGGATCGGTGCCATTTAACTTCTCACCAAACATTGTAAGGAACATTGTGAAGTTTATGGGGCCTGGAGCCTCATTCATCATGGCATCTAGGTACTCATCCGTTGGATTCTTTCCTACAAATAAAGGGATTCATATTTTGTTTAGCTTTCAAACTAAAAGAAGAAGTAATCTAAAGAGCACAATACAAACTGAGACAACTCTCAGAAGCTGTCCCAAACTCAATTATTTTAACAGTGCAAATCTGCCTGGCAACCCTAAACAGAAAAGCCACGTTACCAAGGGAGGCGAGCATATCGTGCAAGTCCTCTTTGTCAATGAAGCCATCCCTGTTCTGGTCAATCATGTTGAAAGCCTCCTTGAATTCCTGAATCTGCGACTGATCAAACATCGCAAATACATTGGAAGTGGCACGCTGAGGGCGCTTCTTGGTGGTCTTCGTCTTTGCCCTTTTGCTAGACATGGTGGCTGTTTGTTCTAGGGAGACAAAAACATATCCAGGATTTAGCCTTATTAAATCAGATTACAAGTTCTTGGGGGAGGGACAGATAAAGGAATATCAAATTCCATGTTATAAGCAAATATACCAAAGTACGCAATTATTTTAGTATCTCCTGCTCCATTTTCTGTCATTTGGATTTCACTTGCTATTAATCTTAATGTCTTTCAGGATTCAGGGACTGGCACTGTAGGCCAATAAAGGGCTAAATTAAAACAAAAATATTATCAAAGCCAAGTTCTCAAAATGAAACTCGCACAGTGCTTTTATTGCTAATTCAATACTCTGTCTGCATCTTCCACAAATTAACATGACTACATACTTAGCAGTCTGTAGAAGGATACGGGCTGCTAACCTAGCAGATTATGTAATGGTTAAATAAATCAAGCAGTGCTAAACTAATATTGGGGACAACAGAAGAAAAAAGAAAGGTATTTATATTATTTGTTAGAAAAGCTACTGTTAAAAGAGCAGTAGGTCTCAGGACACAGAATGGTCCTGACCAGAGCCTAAGGTTTTTGTGAAGATTGTTGGATGGTGCTGGGGGAGAGATCTGCCAAAGAGCTCCTACTGGAGTGCTTTCATCAAAGTCAACTAGAGGATTGTGCGTGTTAGAGAAAAGACGCTGACATAGTTCAAAAGCACTATACATTGCTATTCTCTTACACAGTGGAACTATTACACAATACATACACAAATGCCAGTATAGTCCTTTTAAAAGGAATTAATTGCACAATAAGATTCTAATAATCTGAAGACTGCTTCTTTTAAATTATTAAGCTTTTAAAACATTTATATGTTCTCATAGAATCTTTATATAATTACACGTATCACAAATATACTAATTTAATTGTTTCCCTTGAGCTGTCAAATGACTACGTAAACATGGTAGTTTTTATGTTGTAACACTAATATAATCAGGAAAGAAGTAGGGCTTTCAAGTTAACTGCTTCTTTTTAGTTGGGAAGATACATTTAGTGTTCTACTATGGTTGATAGCACAAATAGGAAAAGCTGAGTCATTCACTGAAATGCAAACACAAAGCCCTCAACAGTGCTATTGGATCAAAGTAATTAGATTTATGCTGTTTCTAAAAGTCTCGTATACCTCTATGCTTTAGTTTTATCTAATGCAAGCAATCCATGCTGCTATAATATTCTCTTATGCCCAAACCACAAGTTATGCAAACCAAATTCCTTTCATCCTTGATTTTGAATGTTATAGGAAGCACCTGCAGTAAACATCCTGAAAGAGCATAAATTTAAGCTTCATCTGTAGTAAGAAGAATGCTAAACACTTTGGAATTTACACTAAATATTAATTTTACAACTTTAAAAAAATTATCTGGTCAGAAATGCAATTCTAAATCGGAGACAAAGAACAGTTCTAATGGTTTCTTAGATAGTCTGGTCAAAGCTACTATATTTTCTGTTAAAACTCCTGAAAAACAAGACTGAAGTAACTAACTTGGATTAATGCTTAAAAACAAAAGGGAGTGATATTAAGCAAAGTAGGTCCCTTTTGTGGTTAATAAAACCAATAATCAAGCAAAAAAGCAGTTTTCTTGGTTTTAATTGAAGAAAAGATATTTTACCTTGCTTTGTATCATGACATGTTGTACCAAGCATCTGGATCATAAATGGATATTCCATGGTTACGTCCTTCTCAGTCTGTCTACAAAGAGTGTTACTGATTTGCCCTGCTAATTCCACACTTTTAAATCCTACGTGCATACATAACGTTCTTCTGACGTATAAAAAAAAATACCTATTATGGCCCGAACTAAAAATAGCCTGTGAAATGCAACTGTGCATCATTCAGTAACACTGAAGTTCTCTTCATTGCATTCACTAACCACAAGCTATTTGAGATGTTTGGCCTCCAACAACACTTCGAAAAATAAATATGAACTCCTGACATCTAGATACTTATGAAGACAGCTGACAATAAAGGTAGCTTGCTTTCAAACTGCAGTCAAGGGTTGTATGTAACTTCAGTCTTTTTCTTACCTCTGTAAAAAACACTCATACAAGTTACTGTTAAACTCTGAGTTACTGATTAGAAGTTCAGCTATACAGAACAGAGTCAAAAATATCTGTTCTCTGAAATAATCCATAGTTTTCAGGATATGGCCTATTCGAGGTAAACCAAAACATTTACTTTGCATGTGCCACAAGGCAGTGCTCCCACCAAGCTGCTACCTACGATTCTCTCAGGTATACTTCAATCCTAATTGAGAGGAGGTAACGAGAGCAGAGACTGCTGCCGACTGTAGCTACACATGGTAGAAAGAGATCCTGTTTCTTTCTAATTCTGTTCAGAAGACTGCTGTATCAGAATATCGTATTAGAGAATACAAAAAGTTTCTTTTGGTGCAACCATGCCTGCTCCAAAAAAACCACAAACAACAAACTGGCTGGATGGCTGGGTCCAAAGAGTGGTGGGGAACAGAGTTTAAATCCATCTGGTGGCCAGTCACAAGTGGTGTTTCCCAGGGATCAGTACTGGGGCAAGTTCTGGTTAGTATTTTTATCAGTGATCTGGACAAGGGGATTGAGTGCACCCTCAGTAAATTTAAAGATGACACCAAGTTGGGCTCTGCAGAGGGACCTGGACAGGCTCAATCAATGGGCCAACGTCAATTCTATGAGGTTCAACAAGGCCAAGTGCCGGGTCCTGCACTTGGGTCACAACAACCCCCAGCAACACTACAGGCTTAGGGAAGAGTGGCTGGAGAGCTGCCCAGCGGAAAAGGACCTATGGGTGTTGATGGACAGCCAGCCGAACATAAGCCAGCAGTATGCCCAGGTGGCCAAGAAAGCCAACAGCATCCTGGCCTGTAACAAAAACAGTGTGGCCAGCAGGACCAGGGAAGTGATTGTCCCCCTGTACTCAGCACTGGTGAGGGCACACCTCAAATCCTGCATTCAGTTTTCGGCCCCTCACTACAAGACAGACACTGAGGTGCTGGAGTGTGTTATGCTGGTGAAGGGTGTAGAGCATAAGCCTTATGAGGAGCAGATGGGGAACTGGAGCTGTTTGACCTGGAGAAAAGGAGGCTGAGTGGAGACCTTATTGTTCTTTACAGCTACCCGACAGGAGGTTGTAGTGATGTGGCCTTGGTCTTCTCGTCCATGTAACAAGTGATAGGACAAGAAGAAACAGCCTCAATTTGTACCAGAGATTTAGATTGGCTATTAGGAAAAAAAATGCTTCTCAAAAACAAACAAACAAAAAACAACAGAAAAAAGGTTGTCAAACACTGGAACAAAGTGCCCCAGAAGTGGTGGAGTCACCATCCCTGGCAGTATTTAAAAGTTGTGTAGATGTGGTGCTTGGGGACACAGTTTAGTGGTGGACTTGGCAGTGCCAGGTTAATGGTTGGACTAGATGATTATAAAGGTCTTTTCCCACCTAAATGATTCTATGACTCCACATAACATTGCACTCAGCTCTGGGAAACTCCATTAGAAAGAGACCGATAAACTGGAACATGTTCAGAAAAGCAAGGACATCAATCCAGTTAGTCAAAGACATCAGTTTATGATGAAAAAGTTTCAAGTGCTTACACTTGGTGTTACCTCTCTGTGTACAATATGACTGTACAACAGGAAATGATGTAATGAGCAAAAACTAACCTTATTTGAGTCAAGCACTGAACTGGATTTTAGAGAAAATAGGATTTCCCAAGGTCATTTATGAAAAATAATCAAAAAAGTGAGCTTTTATGATTAAAATAAGTATAGGCTGAAAATAGAAGAATTTCAGTAGATAAAACATAGAAATACTTCACATTGGATAGTACAAGTCATGACAAGCAGGTTTAGTCTGTTTTTTAATACTATGAAACACTGAATAGTCTGGGCCTTGTTTTGGAAACTGTTCAAGAATTTTTTTTGGGAAAGAACTTGGCCTGTGAGACTTTCATAAGATTTTCAAAAGCATAACCTTTATTTAAAAAGATTTTCACATATTAAAGAAAAAAAACCATAAACTGCACCCACAAGACTAAAGAGGTAGTGTGCTGCTTGTACATGTATGTTTGTCATCCTATACTCCCTACCTCTGCAAAAAGGATAAACGCTAGGAGATAAAACTGAACTAAAGAGCTTGAGCCAGACAATAAGATACCAAACTTCACAGTCAACTAACAGTGATGCAAGTTTGATCTGTTCAGAGGCAGTGACCAAAAGTTATGCTTCAGAGAACAGCCTTGTGTTTCAACAGTAGCTTTATAATGGCTGTGCATGTCTATTACTCAAAATTAAAAAAACACAAACCAACAACAAAAAACCCCAACCAAAGAAGAAAACCTCAGAAAAACAAGAAAATAACCAAACTCCCCTATAACACAAAACACACTCCCAAGGAAGTCTCTACATGAAGTTTCATACTGAATATTTTAACACTGCCAATTATTTGGGAACTTTATTAAACTACAGTGTAATGGTTACATTCTCTTAAATCGTCAAATTCCAAAGTCAGCTTCAAAGCTAAGTCCCTAGCTCTGTCCACGTAACTAATCGCAGCATCCAGTACCACCACTCGTCCATCACATTTTGGGTGGAAGAGGTAAGACTCTGCACTCCAACAGATCTATGGCGAAGCTCAACAGAGGTGTAATCTACACCTCGGGTGAAAAACAAAAAAAACACCAAAACCCCACAAAAATCCCATACCCCATGCAATTTTGTCTAGTCTTGAAAGCCATCCTATCACACTCCTCATTAAAAAGTTTTGCTAAACTCTTGCACAGGAGCCAACCCTGCCTCAAAATCTGCTTCTTATGACTCAACAGAGCCTTTGTCTGCAAGTTAGCGAGCGGAATCCACTGTGAACTGTCTGGATTAACTTCCCCGCGGCCATTAACTATTTCAAAACTCAAGCAGGAGAGGACGCGCTCACCACCCCTCCC